ACCACATCTGTCCAATTCTAGGCTTGTCTGATATTTGGCCTCTTGCTTTTGTTTCATGACCAATTTTTGTATTGGTTGGGAATTCTTTAGGGCAGAATGCTGTGGCCCTGAGAAGTAAAGATAAGTGAATTCTGCTTTGCAAAGCATGTCCAATGTTTCAAGGCATTATCAGTGGAATCTTACATACACTTGCTTCTGGTTGAGTGCAATTGTTGATGCTTGATGTTCAAATGAAGTAGAAGCTCATCAGAATGCTTTTATTGACCTTGTTATGGACCAGACCAAACCCCCTCAAAATATATTCGGAAGATAGTCTCGACCTTAGTTTTTTTCTTCTTTTAAAGCTAAGTATTAGGTGTTGTATTCTAGATGCAATTTGATTGGTCAAACTATTGACTTTAAACAAAACATGCTATATTTTTACACTACAGTTAAACTGTAACTCTATTGAAATGCTTAATGAAATAATTAGAATCCCTACAGTGTGGAAACAGGCCCTTCAGCCCAACAAGTCCACACCGAACCTCAGAGCATCCCACCCAGATCCATCCCCCTATGACCCACCTAATATACACCCTCTACCTCCCTGAACACTCCGGGCAATTTTGCATGGCCAATCCGCCTAACTACTACTACTACTACGACTACTACTAATCAACTGTTCTAATACAGTAACATCCCATAAACACACCCTTGATGAAGGCTAATTCAGTAAAATTGTTTCACATGCAATTCTAGCAATGAAAAGAGAACCCCAGCTTTTCGCTGTAACAGAGAGGGAAATAAGAACTTCCATATCCAGCTTCAATACCCCAGCAACTGCAGAAAGCTAAAACTAACAATACTGGTTCTGTGGGATTTTGACCCCACACATTCAGGCTGCTTCTATTGTTCCAAAGTTTTAATAAAAAAACACCCCAATAACTCATAAGCATTTTCCTTTATTGGCTTTGAGCAGACTGCTCATCACCTCTGTCTCAACTTTTCTTCATAAAAAAAGCCAGGACAAAATATGCGTCTTAAAGCCATAGTATTGTCACAGCTTTGTTATCAAAAGTTGCCCATTGCTCAACATGAATCACACTAAGTCTTCATAATTTTCATGGAATAAATATGGGCAGCCAGTGACTCAATGGTTAGCACTGCTGCCTCACAATGCCAGAGACTTGGGTTCAATTCCACCCTTGAGTGACTGTGTGGAGTTTGCACATTCTCCCCATGTCTGCATGGGTGTGCTCCAGTTTCCTCCTACAGTCCAAAGATGTTCAGGCTGATGGATTGGCAGTGCTAAATTGGCCATAGTGTCCAGGCCAGGTGGACTAGCCATGGTAAATGCAGGGTTATAGTGGGGAGGGTCATGTAGAGTCGATTGGCCAAATGGTCTGCTTCCACACTATAGGGATTCTACAGTTCTATCGAAACAAAATTGCCAGATAAGCATAATTTCATTGCTTTGTATTTGCGTCGTTGGCTGTATAATTAATCCACTGACATTATAGCACAGTGTTGATATGTAAGTACATTATGCATGTTAGCAGTTTGAATTTTTAGTTCGGTGCCATATGGATTTATACCACTAGGTGGACCCATTAAATCTGATTTGTTCTCAATATTTCTGGAACGTGTTTTGAGCAAGACTTAATTTTCACAGTCCTTTGTTAAACCTCTGGTCACATCTCATATAGTGGCATGTTATTGGAACCAGATTAAATATGGATTTGCAAGAAATTCTTCACGTTTCTATATAGTTGCAAATCCTAGAAACATAAAATGCTGCGAATGCATATCTGGAAGTTAGCTTCTGAAAAGAGAAATGTTAATCTACAGAATTTTACCAGTACTTTGGGGACAGGTTGGATCGTAGAAAGAGGTCAGCATGTCTGCTATCTTTCTGCTGCTCTGCCATTTTTGTCAGCAGGGGCTAAGATGGCAGATGAGCCACCCACCTGGAGCTTAATTTGAATCACATTTGACTAATTGTTGATGTTCTCATTTCTGTCAGCATTGCGCCTATGCCAGGCAGGGCTAGGGAAGGGGAGAGTATACTACTAAATGGGGAGACTATACGGTAAAACGTGGAGACCAGGCTCTTTGGGTGTGTGGGGAGAGGTGACCTCCTTTTATAGGCACATTTTGTCCATGGAGGGGACTCCCTAGCAGCAATGCCCTCCTCATTAACAATGCTGCCTGGCCATTAGAAGTGGGTTTCAGCAGACAAAACAACTCTCAACCCCTCAGCCCTTATTGCAGATGCCGTTTATCGAAGTACCTGCAATGGCTGTTGCCTGTGGTGGCATTGCTGAGGCTGCTAAAGACTGTTCCTCAGTTGGCTTGACAGTTGTTGAGTCAGACCCCACTGTCCATAGAGGCCTCAGTAATACAAGTCAGCAGATATTTTGGGTGTAGAACTGGAGGTTGGAAGGTGAGGACGCTCCTTTGAGTAGACAAAATGAGATCGAGAAGAAGGGAAATTCTGGTTCCTATCACAGAGGTAATTAATACTTTCGTAATCTGCAAAACAGAAGAATCAGCGATTGAAACATTAACCTGCCATTTCCTTTGTAAAACAATCCCTCAGCATTCTTAGTGAAATTTCTGTTTCTACTTTAAAGAACTTACCTGAAATCTATTTCAATAGTCATCTTAAATCAGTCGATACCCTATGTCACTTTTGACAGTTCCTTCCATTGCTTTGCAAATAATTAGGAGTGGCCTGATAGGGCAGTAAAAGACCGGATCAGATTTGCCCTACAATATGTAGAATTAATTTTGTTAAAAACTCTTGTATCCCGAGCCCCCCCAGTTTGATTCGATTTTTGGAACCGAGTACCAAGGGAGTGATATATCGTTTGACTTGAGGAACATTTTATATTTTATCATGAAAAAAAGATAGGTTTCTTGTCTTCAACTTGGGATTTAAGAGAAGTGTAATCAGAATGGAGTTGTAGGTAACGCAGCTGGTAGGATTGTGTGAAATAGGCCATTCAGCTCATTGAGTCTGCTGTTCCATCCTCAATTTCACTTTTTCTCCATTCTAATAGTACTCAGCTTCTTAATTATTCCTGCCAAAGTGCATAACCTCCTATTTTCCTACATTATATTCCTTATGCTAAATTTTTGCCTACTCGCTTAGCTCGTCCACATCACTCTGTAGATTTCTTGTGTCATCCTTACCACTTCCCTACTCCCCTATTTTTGTGTAACGTGCAAACTTAGCTATAGTAAGTTCACTTTCATCATTTGAGTCATTAATATTGTAAATAATTGTGGTGCCAGAACTGATTTCTGTGGCACCTCACCTGTTATAGTTTGCCATCCTGAAAATGTCCCCCCTTATCCCAACTCAATTTCCACTTTGTTGGTTAATTCTCTGTCCATGCTAATCTGCTACCGCCAACACCATTAGCCTTTAACTTAAGTAGCCTAATCTCTGGTATGTGTGGCCTTCTGATATTAGATCTGCTGCTCCTTCTTTATTCTGCTTGTAGCTTTCTCAAACAATCCTAATATGTCAAGCACGATTTCGCCTTCGTGAAGTGTTGCTGACTCTGTTTGATCATATTATGTATTTCTAAATGCTCTGCTATTGCATCCTTTATAATAGACTCTTAACATTTTCACAATAATGGGCATTAAGCTAATTGGCCTATAGTTACTTTTTTGTCTCTTTCCCCTTTTTAATGGTACCTTTTTTTGTCTCTTTCCCTTTTTGACTAACAGTGTTACATTGGTAGTTTCCAATCCATCGACATTATTCCAGAATCCAAGGATTTTTGGGCAATTGCTCCCAGTCCATCCACTATATCTGTAGCTGCTGCTTTTATTACACTAAGATGCAACCATTCTTATCCAGGCAACCGATCAGATTTTTAGTCCATTAGTTTCCCTACTACCTTTTCTCATGTAGAGGCACAGTTGAAGCATTGGAGGAAGCTTGCAAGTCTGTAACCATCTCATCTATCCAATCTTTGATGCACCACCAGCCCTCCATGTGACAGACTCTGTAAATCACACATTGGACTTATCATTCGTCTCAGAACCCACTGAACCAGAGTGGTAGCAGGTCATCATCAATCTCTCGGGACTACTTAAGAATAAGGAAAAAGACTTTTCAAAATCAAAGATTCATTGGCATAATTCTGATAGTGCCTTGAGTCATGGATTTACAAATTGGAAAGCAGCGGAAATAACCTGCTGGTGGAACTGCCTTAAATAACCAACTGTTGACTTCCTTTTATATGTCAAATCATTAATCCATTGTGTTATGAATCTGGTTCTTAGTGATCACAATGTGTCTGTTGACAGCGTGGTCAAATTCAAACGGTAAATCAGAACTAGAACTGAGTTATAGAATAATCAAGAACCAAAGATCTTTCAGAGATAGTAGGAACTGCAGATGCTGAAGAATCTGAGATAACCAGATGTAGAGCTGGATGAACACAGCAGGCCAAGCAGCATCAGAGGAGCAGGAAGGCTGACATTTCGGGCCTAGACCCTTCTTCAGAAATTCTGAAGAAGGATCTAGGCCCGAAACGTCAACCAAAAACCTTTGGTTACCATGTTAGTTTGTAAAATCTCTGTGTGAAGAGAATGGTGCTGCTCCCTGAGGAATTGAGGAGTTTTTGATTCAAGTTCTTATTGCTTATCAGTTGTCTCTAACTCGACTTTGTGCTTGTTTCTTCCCATCAGCTTAATCTTCAAATTTGTATTTTAAACAGGTTGAAGCCCAAATAGTATTACATTGCCGTGGGTTTTTACTTCAGTTATATTCACTGCAGTCTGTTAATTTTCAGAAATGTGCAATTTACCACTGAAGAAGTGGGAATTAAGAGTCTTGCTTATTGTGTTCATCACCAAAAGTCGTCTTTGCACGGATTTCAAACAATTATAACTCTGAGATAAGACAATAGAAAGAATTAAATGTAAACTGAATTAACAAAGTAATGATTCTGTTACCCTAATAGAATAATTTAATCTGCTTTTACCATTTTCTTGTATAGGGTACCAGAATTTGTCAGAGAAAAGCGGTTTGGAAATTGGTTGAAGGATGCACGTGATTGGGCAATTTCCCGGAACAGATACTGGGGTACTCCTATCCCTTTATGGGTTAGCGAAGACTTTGAGGAAGTAAGTAATTAAGTGATCCACCATAATCAGAATTTTTGTTTCCTTCAAGTAGAAGTTAGCAGAGATCTCAACATGTTTCTAAGGTACTTTGAATTAAATTAACTGTAAATGCAAATTTTCTGACAATTATACCAATTTCATCGGACATTAATGTTATGTGCGAGCAACATGGAGTTGAATGACAAAAGTACTTTCCACCCTTCTTTGCACACTACCCCTACCTTCAATTTCTAATGTAAGGCCCGCGGTGTAACTATGTCAATACAGTGTGGAGCTGGAGGAACACAGCGGGTCAGGCAGATCAGTGGAGCAGGAGAGTCGATATTTCGGGCCTCGGCCCTTCATTGTGATGGAGGAGGGTGAAGGAAGTTGGGGAATAAATAGAAGGGAGAGGGGTGGGGCTGGGGGAAGGTAGGTGGGATGGCAATAGGTGGATACAAGTAGGGGTAGTGGGGATTGGTCAATGGGAAGGGTGGGGCGGATAGATGGAGAAGTAGGTGGACAGGTTGGTCTCAGGTCAAGGAGGCAGGGATGAGAGGGAGGGTTGGACATGGAATGAGGCCGGGTGTGGGAAGATTTTGAAACTGGTGAATTCTATGTTAAGGCCATTGGGCTGTAGGCTGTCAAGGTGGAATATGAGGTGTTGTTCCTCCAGTTTGCATGTGGCGTCATTGTGGCACAGGAGGAGGCCCAGGATGGACGTGTCACCAAGGGAGTGGGAGGGGGAGTTAAAAAGGTTTGCAAATGGAAGGTGTTGTTGCTTATAGTGTATGGAGTGCAGGTGCTTTACTAATCTGTCACCGAGTCTACGCTTGGTTTCACCGATATAGAGGAGGCGATATCGGGGGCAACAATACAGTAGACTGGGTTGAAGGATGTACAGGTGAACTCCTGTTAGATTTGGAAGGTTTGTCTTGGGCCTTGGATGGAGGTGAGAGGGGAAGTATAGCGGCACGTGTAGCATTGTCCTGCAGTTACAGAGAAAGGTGTCGGGTGTGGTGGCGTTGGTGGGGAGTGTGGAGTGGACGAGGGAGTCATCGGAGAGAGCAGGCCCTATGAAAGGTAGATAGGGGTGGGGAGGGAAATATCTCTTTGGTGGGGTCAGATTGTCAGTGGCAGAAGTGGTTGAGGTTGATGCGTTGGATGTGGAGGTTGGTGGGGTGGTATGTAAGCACCAGGGGTGCTCTGTCTTTATTTTTGTTGGGGTAGGGGGTTTGAGGACAGAAGTGCAGGACCCGCAAGAGATGCAGTTGAGGGCATTTTCGATGAATGGAGGGGGGAAATTGTGGTCCTTGAAGTAGGAGGACCACTGAGATGTCTGGGAGTAGAACGCTCTGTCTTGGGAGCAGATGTGGCAGAGGCAGAGGAATTGGGAGTAAAGGATCACATTCTTGCAGGAGGGTGGGTGAGAGGAGGTGGAGTCTAAGTAGCTATGGGAGTTGGTGGGTTTGAAATAGATGTCAGTGCTGAGATCGTTACTGGATATGGAGACAGAGAGGTCCAGGAAGGGGAGGAAGGAATCAGAGATGATCCAGGTGAATTTGAGGTTGGAGTGAAATATGTTGGTAAAGTTGATGAACTGTGCAAGCTCCTCATGGGAGCATGAGGCAGCGCTGAAACAGTCATCGGTGTAGTGGAGGAGGATGTTAGGGATGGTGCCGGTGTAACAGTAGAGGAGGGACTACTCTGCATATCCTTCGAAGAGGCAGGCATAGCTCGGACCCATACGGGTGCCCATAACCACCCCTTTGGTTTGTAGGAAGTGGGAGGAGTTAAAGGAACATTTGTTGAAGATAAGAACAATTCTGTTAAGCGGATGAGGGTGTCGCTGGAGGGGGACTGGTTGGGCCTGCGGGACAGGAAGAAGCAGAGGGCTTTTAGGCCATCTGCATGGGGGATACAAGTGTACAGGAATTGGATGTCCATGGTGAGGTAACAATGTGGCAGCTTTCCTTTCTATTAAAGGGGAGGGAAGTAGGTAGGTGAATTCTCATTGTGTAATTTTCATTGAACTGCTCATGTAAAGTTATTAAAGGAAGTGGACCTGCCTGCCGTCTTAGAAACTAGTAGTATTTTATCTAGCAAATACCAGCACTGAGAATAAAAATGGGGATAAATTTGTCCTAAATTATCACCCCCAAAAAACCCTGCTGCAGCCGTGTGATCTCCTGGGTGATACCAAGTATTCAGACAAGTTACTATAAGAAATAGGAACAGGAGCAGCCCATCCTGCCCCTCCACCCTGCTCTATCATTCAATAGGATCAGGGCTGATCCAATGATGTTCAAATCCATTTCCTGCCCTTCCCCAAAACCCTTGATTTCCCCTATTCTTGAAGAATCTATCCATCTCAGCCTTAAATGTACACAAGGACTCTTCGCTGACAGCTCTCTGTGGCAGAGAGTTCCATAGACTCTCAACCCTCAGAGAAGAAACTCCTCCTCATCCTGGTTTAAATTGGTGCCCCTTTATTGTGAGACCATACCCTCTGGATCTAAATTCTCCTGTGAGTGGAAACATCCTCTGAGCATTTACCCTGTCGAGCCCTTTAAGAATCTGATGTGTTTTAATGAGATCACCTCTCATTCTTCTAAATCCCAGAGAATAGAGTCTCATTCTGTTTAGCCTTTGCTAATAAAACAGTCCTTCCATACCAGGGATCATCCTAATGAACCTTCTCGAAACTGCCGCCAATGAAATGATATCTTCAACTGAGGGCATCAAAACTGCTCAGAGTACTCCAGATGCAGTCACATGAGCACCTTGTACCTTGGCAGCACGACTTCCCCAATTCTATACTCCAACCCCCTTGAAATAAGGCCTGCATTGTATTAACCTTCCTGATTACCTGCTGCACCCATGTGCTGGCTTTCTTTGTTTTGTGCACAAGTATCCATAAGTCCCTTTTGTGTTTGCAGCTTTCTACATTTTTTTTCTCAATTTAGATAATATTCTATTTTTTTGTTCTCCCTTCCAAAATGAACAACATCACATTTTCCCATGTGATAATCCATTTGCCAACTTTTTGCCCACTTATTTAACCTATCAGTATCTCTCTGTGAACTGTATCCCTCTCTCAATCTACCTTGCAGCCTATTTTTGGTCATCTGCACATTTGGCTTTAGCATATTCAGTTCCTTCTTCCAAGTCATTAATGTACATTGACAAAAAGTATCCAGTCCCAGCATGATCCCTGTGGAACCTCACAGGTCACCAACCTGGGGGATAAAGACCCCTTATCTCCACTTGCTTTTTACTGCCTATGAGCCAGTTCTGTATCCAATACTGCCCCTAACACCATAGGCTCTTATGACATAACATTTTACAAGATACCTTGTCGAATGCCTTCTGGAAGTCCAAATACAGTGCATTTTCTGGTTCCCCTCTATCCAGTCTGGTTGAGACTTCCTCAGAAAACCTCTAATAAATTAGTCAACCACAATTTCCCTTACTTGAAGCCATGTTGACTCTACTTGATCAGGTTAAGATTTTACAAATGTTCTGCTATTACTTCCTTAAGCATTGATTCCAAAGCTGTTCCAACAATAGATGTAAGGCTGTTTGGCTGAATGTTACCTGCTTTCTGTCTCCATTTTTGAATAGGGATGTTTACCATTAGCAGTTTTCCAATCCTCTGGTAATTCTCCAGAACCCAATGATTTTTGGGAAATTACAACCCTTGAATCCAAATCTGTAGTGATCTCTTTTAGGATCCTCAGATACAAGCCATCAGAGCTAGGGGACCTATCTGCTTCTAGCCCTATCAGTTTGGCTTATAGGACTACTTTAGTGATGGTACTTAATTCCTCCCCTGTGCCCTTTAGTATGAATGGAATGTTCAAAGTATCTTCCATTTTAAAGACTGAGGCAAATTATCTGTTTACTTCCTCTGCTACTTCCTTTTTCCCTCAGACAGTGACCCCAGATTAATTTTCAAGGGTGCTTATGTTTACTTTGACAGGTCTTTTTTTTATATACATTTAAATAATCTCTTATTGTCAGTTTTTATATTCCTTGCTCATTTGCCCTCATAGTTTATTTTCTCTTCTTTAAAAAATCTTTTTAGTACTCCTTTGCTAGATTCTGAATTTATCCCAATCTTCAGGGCTATCACTGACTTTCGCCTCCTAATATGTGTTCTCTTTCAACTTAATACTCTCCTTAATTTCTTTGGTTAGCCATAGTTGGTTTATTTCTCTTTTAGAATGTTTCCTCCTTACTGGGATGTATTTTTGCTGAGAGTCATGAATTACCTCCTTAAATGCCTGATACTACTTGCTTACTGTCATTTCTGTCAATCTGTTCACTTGAGCTAATTGTATCCTCATTTCATTGCAATTCTCTTCGTTTAAGTTAAACACTGTTGTTTCCAACCCAAGTTCCTCACTCTCAAACAGAATATTGAATTCACCGTATTATGATCATTGTTTCCTTGGAGATCTTTTACTCTGAGATCAGTTATTAAATCGGCCTCATTACCAGATCCAAGATAGCCTGCTCTCTGGTTGGTTGCGTGACAGATTACTGTAGGGAAATATAGCTGATGCACTCCATTGATGTCTCATTATAAACAAAACCTGTCTAACACATTTTATGACTAGAATGTGTATTAAAGATGCCTTATCTCATTAAAGGATAATTTGCTGCAAAGCTGAACATCAAAATAAATGATTTATGAAACATTCTGGCAGATTTTACTTCTGTGGTGTTAACAGATCTGGGAGCTGCCTTTTGATTTTGAGTCTGTTGTCAGCATTGCAATATGATGAAACTATAGGCAGAGATCTACATCTTTTTATCTGTGGTGCAATAGGGGAGGCGATGGCCTAGTGGTATTATCACTAGACTGTTAATCCAGAGACCCAGGTAATATCCTGGGAACGCAGGTTGAAATCCCGCCACGACAGATAGTGCAATTTGAAAACAATTTTTAAAGATTTAGAATTAAGAGTGTAATTATGACCATGAATCCGTTGCTGATTGTTGAAAAAACCCATCTGCATTACGAGTGTCCTTTTAGGGAAGGAAACTGCTACCTTCATCTGGTTTGGCCTACATGTGACTCCAGACCCTCATCAATGAGGTTGGCTCTTAAAAAAAACTGCCCTCTAGCCTCGCCAGCAACATCCTCATTCCATTAATGAATAAAAAAAGTCCTAAATTAGAATAAATGCTGCACCATTCCTAAAATTGCCCTAATTCACCTCTCTAAAGGTACTGAGATCTCTGTCTCACTTTGTGTATATATTACTCCAGAGTGCATTGATTGAATGAATGTGATTTTCCAAATTCTGATCAGTTTAATGAAATTTAGCTGTTTGTTAACTGAACATTTTTATTCACCTCCTTTTGATTATCTACAACAAAGTACTTGGGAGACTTCTTTGTACCAAATATCTTAATTTGTAGCACAATCTCATGACAGATGTCTAAAGTAACAATGATGTCATAGATGTCTGTCAAATGTTGTGTAATTAGTTTTTATACTCTTGTAACAACTTTTATGAGAACTCATTAGTTTTGGCGAAGGCACAGCACGACCATTGAAATAATAACATTAATTCTGATTTCGCGCTGCAGGTGCTGCCAGACCTGCTGAACTTTTCCAGCAATTTCTGTTTTTGTTTCTGATTCACAGCATTCACAGTCCTTTTGGTTTTTATTGAAATGCAGATACTTTTTCAAATGGACTTTTCCTGTAATACATGATGTCTATAAGTTAATTGAGGCTGCGTGTTATGTTTTGAAATCTAGGAAAGGATACTAAGTACAACTGCTGGTTACTTAGATAGTCGATGTTTTAATTTTCCAACATTCCCTCGATTCTGAAAAAAATCCCATCAATTTGGAAAACAGCGAACATGACTTCTCTGTTCAGAAAGGGAAGGAGTCAGGAAACCAGAAACTATAGGCTGTATAGCATTGGCTTATTTTTCAAAGGGGAAAATGCTGGAATCTATTTTTGAGGAGGTTATAACAAGATACTTTGAAAATCTCAATGAGGTCAGACAGAGTCAAGATGATTGTGAATAGGAAATCGTGTTTAACTAATTTATTAGACTGGTTTGAGTAAGTAACAGATGGCATTGATAAAGGAGACCCAGTAGAGACTGCCAGCAGGTACTTGACAAGGTGCCATGTCAAAGATTCACAAACCAAGAGCTTGTGGTATTGGTGTAACCTATCAGCAAGGATAAAAGATTGGTTCATGAAGAGAAAGCTTCGGGTTAGTATAAATAGGTTGTGTTTGGGATGGCAGGATGTGATGAGAGCCATGATCTTATTCAATACCTGAGCAAGCTAAAGAGGTGAATTTTATGCTGTCAGTTCATAGTTTTACCAGCATCTAGAATTGATTTGTTTGTAATAAATAGTCATTCTTGTTAAGAACAGAAACCTGGTCTATGTTTACATTTATAAAGAATTGGGTCAAAATGACAGATAAATTGGGAATTTTGCATAACTTTTTTTTAACTTTTGTGGTGACTCCGGGAATAGCTGACCATAATTTATAGTGTGCTACCTAGTGAGGGGTGACATTTACATATCTGTTCTTTACATGACGTGCATTAGAATCCTGGTTGTTTACCGTTGAATCTGAATTACAATCCAACTCGAGGTGATTTGATGAAATTCTCAATGCATCTGTGGGAGGAAAAAGTCTCAAAATAAAACCTGAAGCTAAATCCCTATAAGTCAGACATCTGTCACTGAAAAAATCTTTTATGTCTATTGTAACATGGAACATTTAAAGAAACTGCTCTGTTGTCATATTGACCTGATTTAGCAGGTGAAATGGTCTCTTGTAATCTTGCCTTTTCACTTTGTTTCTCCCTACACCTGTCTCCACACCCAGAACAGAGAATATCTCAAAATTATGATTAAAACTTTGATCTGGTGTTTAATCAATAGGTCAACAAATCAAGATGCTAGATTCATGTTTCATATCTGGAAGTTCTTTTTAATTTGCTGAGGGACATATTTCTTTGGAAACTGAACTAAAGCACACTGTTAATTAATTGCAGTCGCTATTCAACACAGCATGTCACAATGCAAATGCTTAGAGCTGCAAGATTGAAGTAAAATCGTTCTTTTATGGCAGACTCAGTAATTTGGAGCCTACAAGTCTGTGGAACTCCAAAGCACTGCTTGTGAGTGACCACCCAGCCTGGTTTCCTTGTTAGGATGAAGTGGAGTGTAGTTGTCATTGGGGCATTGCCAATGTGTCGTAATAATAAGCTGTATAATTTTATCCAGTTGGTTGCATTTCAACAGTATGTCTGTATATATTTTGAGCGTTGACTGTTGCTCGCACCCTAGTGAGTTCTCTACTCATGTCAAAGGATGGTATGCATTCACCATAATAAGGCAAAGAGAATATACTTGTGTGTTTTTTGTTTTGGATTGATTTACATATTCCTGCATATGATAGTTTTTGAGGCAAGAAGAAACAAATCCCTGAATGTATTTTGTAGTATATTGGTGCATCTTACCATAAAGTTTACCTCTAGATTGTATGCCAGCTGGGTTTAGCAAGAACTGCAGATGCTGAAGTCAGAGTCACTACAGTGTTAAACTGGAGGAACGTCGACTCTCCTGCTCTCCTGATGCTGCCTGACCTGCTGTGTCCCTCCAGCTCCACTCTGTATTGACTGATGCTACCTGCTTGTTGCTACTCTGTGTGATTACAGTTAATCAGAATTGCTTCATTCAAATTGTTTCTACTGGTTGTTGCCATAATAATAGATAGTTTTGGTGTACAGGAATGCTGTATCAAGTAAAATATTATTCCTTTGTCAGGTGGTATGTGTGGGATCAGTGGCAGAATTGGAGGAGCTGAGTGGAATTCAAGTTGAAGACCTTCATCGTGAAAGGTGATACTTTATTTTAAAATGTGTATGTTATAGATGTTCTATTAATTTTTTTAGATGCTGCATTTTTCCATTTGTCTAATCAGGTGGTTCGCTCTGACTCCAAAATATAAACCTATTGAGGTGAACTTTGGTTAGCAATATAATGTTGTAATTAGATTAGCACTATTCTGTGTTTGACCAGCTTAAAAGCAGTCTTGGCTCAGTCAAAAGTTGAGAATTGAAGCCCCAGTCCAGATTCTAGAGCACAAGTAATGTTAATCATAATTCAGCTTGTAGTACTCTCACTGCTGCGTCAGTGGTTGTAAGTTCAAGTCACACTGAGGCTTGAAGACTTGAGTAACCAAATATAAGCTCGCAGTTGAGGAACTGCTGCTGTGTTGGTGGTATCATCGTTTGGAAAGAATTTCAAGCAGCTGTCTGCTCTCTCAAATGAAAGCAAAAAATCCCATGGCCCTATTTTGACGATAACGAGCAGTAATCCCTAGTGTCATGCTAATAATTATTTTTTCAGCAACATCGAAATGATAGACTATTTAATTGTTATTACATTGGTATTTGTGGGACCTTGCTGTGTGCGAATTGGCCACCATATTTCCCTGCATTACAACAGTGACTGAATTTCCAAGTAAGTTCTGAATTGTTATGCACACTGGAACGTTGATGAAAAGGACTGTTTAAGTGCGAGTTTTTCCCTCTTCAGTTTGCAAATTACCATGTCTCATCTGAAGAAGTTGGTGCATTCTACATTGGTTTTGGCTTTCTAACTAAATTTGATCAGACCTCAAACTATGTGCTGTAAATAGGATAGCTAACAACGACCATTTTGTTTGTCAAATGTTAGGGAATGATCAATTGTCCACTAATAATTGTATCTACTACTGAATATCACTTAGGTTGTGCACCGTATCTTTTCTTTAAACAGAAAATTGCAATATTGTTTTGCGCAGATTATTGCAGATAAAACAATCCCCATGAATTGTTAGATATAGGAAAATACTGAGTGTAAAGATAGAATCCATCAAACCACAGTTTAAAATGTCCTTTCAGAATGTATTTCTCGCAGTGCAAACAACAAGACTTTCAAAAATAATGTTTTTCACAAGTGATTATAACTTCCAGTTGATCCATAGGAGTTCAAAACTGCCATTGACACTAAAACAGAATCCCTAATAACTTAGTTTAAGTTATGCCCAGAATTTTTTTTTTAGAGGCGTTAATTCGGGTATCACAATATTTTGCAACCAGTCTCTTCAATGTTTCAATAGAATATGTTTGTCAAAACTACAATCTACATTAGTTAATATTTTGCTTGTTTATTTTTGACTAACTGGAACAGGAAGCCTGTCTAAATGGCTGAAGTACAAATGCTGAATTGAAAAATTGACCTTTGTATCAATCTAAGATTTACCTATTTTACGCAATTGCAAACGCTTTTTCTTAAAAAAGCATGCATTGAATTTTCATGGACAACTGTTTTACGTATGTGGTGTAATAGCTGATGTATCCAACACTGGCCCTGAATTTCATGAAGCAATTTCTCAATGCAGTGTCTGGGAACAAAAATAAAATGCTTTTTGAAAGAAGCCACAGCTGTAAGGTTACCTCGTCCTGAAAACCAAACAATGCCATTCCAATCTGGAATATAAGTTGTTTTTTGTTCTTCAAGTTTAGTGTGAAGGATGTCAGTAATGTAACTGATAACAAAACTCAGGAATAGATTATATTTATTGTTTGAGAACTTGAGTAAAAGGAGCAAAAGTAGTCCATTTGGTCCCTTGATGACCTTCTCCCTCAATTCTACTTTCCTGATTGCTTCCTAATCCTTAAGTTTCTTGAGACCTGAAATCTCTGTCTAAATATATTCAACGAAGGAACATTCATAATTGTCTGAAGAGAGCAATCAGCCACCAGCATGTTCATCGACAATCCATCTCATCCTGTAAAAAATTTTTCATGATCTTGCCCCAGACTCTGCCATCCTAAGCATTTGCAAGCTTCCGGAGCTCTAATTCTGAGATCATAAGAATAGCAGTATGTGATTGGCTCATTGAACCTGCTTTGCCATTTAAGAAAATTATGACTGATTTCATGGTGGCCACTTTCCTGTCTTGCCCTGTAACACTACATCTCCTTCATTTCTGTCACAATATCACTCTACATTTTTTCTACTTTAAATTTCATCTTGATTTAAATGGTTGGTTTACGTGCCATATCTGCCTACAGCCTCATCATAACCTCTTCACTGTTATCCGTAGTATTTTCACATAGGCAATTTCAGGTGTATATGTGAATGTAGAAAATCACACTAGGTATATACAAACAAGCATGTCTTGAAAATTGGTACAAAATCACATCAGTGCACCCTGCCATAAAAACCTATGCCCTTCATTTCATATGTATAATGTCATGCAAGATCGAGTAGATCTCACACCCTCCCCCCCGCCTCCCTCTGTCACGCCCGCTCTCTCTGTCACTCTTTCACACACGTACACACACACACACACACACACACACACATACACACACACACACACACGTGAATCTATGGGGTGAATTTGTATTTGCAGATACATTTTATTTTGTTCAAAAAGCACACAATTTATAGACAGTCAGTCAATGTGGCATTTCATAAGTTCCTACTGTAGAAATAAAACCAGTCTGACTCCAAACTAAAATACAAACAGATTCTAAACTAGGTCTCACACCTAACATGCATCGAAAAGAATTCGGGGATTTACATATTAATTGTTTAAAGCCTTCAAACTGATTAAAGATTTAACAGCTTCTTACGTTTCTTTAGTACATCCTCATCAATGGTGTGCACATTTGATCTTTTACTTATAAATTCTGTGTCTGATACTACCTCTCTCACTAACACCCGACGAAGGACTGAGGCTCCAAAAACTTGTGTTTTCAAATAAACCTGTTGGACTATAACCTGGTGTAATGCAATTTCTGACTTTGTCCACCCAAGTCCAACACTGGCACCTCCACATCATAGATCACAAAACAAATGTTAAAATTGTAGCACCCACCTGTTTAAGTTATGTCTTGCTCATCCAATAATTAGGTGATTATAAACATTAGACAATTGTAACAAACACACAAAATAATATAAACTCATCAGGTCTGGCAGCAACTGTGGAGGAAGAAGCTGTCTTAACTTTCTCCTCCATATCCATCATTTTCTCTGAATGAAAATGGAAGTTGGAAAAATGTGCAGAATACAATTTTGTGAGTGAACTGTAGATTAAAAAATTTTGTCGCATCATTATTTGTGGATCTAAGTAAAGTTACTCTGTTATCTAATTGTTGGGGTGATCACGTTGAAGGAGAAATTACAGACATGTTACATTGTTGCTGCTGAACCATTCCGATAAGGAGGCTTCTGTGTTCAATTCCCAGCCTAGATGGTAACGGATAATTCCATTGTCTGAGCATCATAACAGATATCCATGCTTCTGGAGCAGAAAGCAGGAATAGCATTGCATATTTACAGTTTTGGCTCTTGTTAGTGAACATATCCATGTTAACACTGAATAAGCTTTGCTGTTGGCTTTGCTATATCACTGTCCTTATTGAAATAGCTAATTGAATGTTCAATGTCTGTCCATACATAAAGAATGACTGCTTGGGTCCTGATATAAAGGTCTATATCTTCCAAAATAGGGAAAATTATTTGTAATGCAGAAATGATATATTTTTATTTATAAAACATTTCTTTGGCCTTAGCATTTCCCAGAGTGCCTTACAGCCACTGAAGCACTTTAAAAGAACAGTCATTGTTGTACACAGAACGCATGATGTTTGTGGTCATAAATGTGCTTCCTGCAGAATGCAATATTTGCTTATTGTTACTTGCCTTTTCAAACTTTCCATTGATGCATTGATCATTATACTTTATGTTCCAGTGTTGATAACATCACAATCCCATCAAACTGTGGAAAAGGTGTTCTGAAACGAGTTTCTGAGGTCTTTGATTGCTGGTTTGAAAGTGGAAGCATGCCATATGCTCAGGTTCACTATCCTTTCGAAAACAAAAGAGAGTTTGAAGACACCTTCCCAGCAGACTTCATTGCTGAAGGAATTGACCAAACAAGAGGATGGTAAAGAAGTAATTGCTACTGTAGCAATTCAATTCTGTTATCTTGTGATTAATTCCATAAACTTGGAGTATTCAAGTGGGTGCAGTATAATTGAAACTAACAATTCACTTACCTCAAATTTGAAATTTAATCCTTTTAGTGAATTGTTCATGGGTGAGAATAGAACATTTTTCTCTTCTTGTGACCAGTTCCTGTACATCACATTTCCAGGTTATGTAAGGCTTGGTACTACCATGACAATATATCATCACCCAAGACACTCAGCTGTGCTTTTTATTGTACCAATATATTTTGATTTTTCCCTACATTTACCTTAGTGGTCTTCAAGTGAGATTTCACAAAAAATTTGAAACTTTGATTTGCTTAAGTGCTGCAAGGTGGAAAATAAATAGAGACTGAAAGAAATATTGAAAACATTAAATAGTTGTAGTTGAACACTAAATTTCAACTTGTAATGAATTAATCCTATATTTTGAATAAAAAATGCTACATTTCAGATGAAATCATTTTTCTGTAATTGAGAAAATAGGCATTAGAATTGCTGTTCAGTCACTTTTTGTCAGCTTCAGTAGCGAACTATAATGATGTGTGAAATTGTTTCTTCCTGTGAAGATGTTAGAGTTTGTAAAATGTTATGATCCCTGTAGAAGTCAATATCATATTCTAAAAATACAGTGCATGTTTTTCCCAGCTCCAACATCAATTGCGAAGGGTCAAGATTTCATGCTTTAAGGTTTTTACTGCAGCAAACAAAATAAATGAATATAGATCTGGTGAAAGTAATGGCCAGCAGTATTGTTGCTGTGTTAGTAATCCAGAGATCCAATTTAATGTTCTGTGTACTCTGATTCGAATCTCACCACAGCAGATAAACTTGAATTCCGTAGAAATCTGGAAGTAATGGTCTGATGATAACCATGAAACCATAATCAGTGGTTGTAGAAGCCTATCTAGTTTACTAATATTCTTTAGGGAAGGAAACTGGCATCCTTATCTGATCTGGCCTACATATGACTCAATAGCTACAACAGTGTGGTTAACTCTTAACTGGCCCCTGAAATGGTAAGCCATTCAGATGTATCAACTACTACCAAGTTTAAAGAAAGGAATGAAACCAGATGCACCTTCTGGCATTGACTAAGGCACTGGATACAATAACAGCAAAGACAGCCTTGTCAACCTTGCAAAGTTCTCCTTTCTAATAGTGCTAGTGCCAAAATTAGCAAAGCTGTCTCACTGACTAGTCAAACTACAGCCAGACATAGTTATACTCATGAAATTTTACCTTACACAAAATCCCCTAGACAACATCAATACCATCAGGACAGACCCAGCAGGGGTGGCAGCACAGTGATAGAAAGTTGAGAGAGAGTCGTCCTTGGATGCTTCAATGTTAATGCTGGACCCTAGGGAGTCTCATGGCACCAGATGAAACATGAGCAAGGTAACCTCCAACTGATGACCATGCCCTGGCCCTGGTTTCAGTACTCATCCAGTGTTGAGCACCACTTGGAGACAGTCTATCCCTTGTAGTATGGTGATAGTGCCAGAATACATGAAGGAGGGTGTTCTCATTGTTAACAATGGCAAGGGTGCAGATGTACCCAGCATGAGGGACTTCAAAGTCTATCCCCAAGAATGGCTCAGCAGCATCACTACTGATTGAGCTGATTGAGTCCAAAAGAATGTTGCTGCTTGACAGGGTATGTGGCAGATGGTAAGAGAGCTAAAGGAAGGAAAAACATGCTTGATTTTCTCCTTGCCAGTCTGTCTGTTACAGATGCAACTGTCCGTGTTAGTATCTGTAACTGTAACTACTGCACAGTCCTTGTGGAGATAAAATCCTGTCTTCACATTGAGAATATGGAGTTGTGTAGCACTTGGACTGAGCTACCTGAGAAAGACTTCGAACAGATCAAGCAACCGGAGGTGCTGTCGGCCACCAGCAGCCACAGAATCTCATCACATGTCATATCCCCCGCTCTACCATTACCATCAAATCAGGAGGATGAAGAAAGCAGGAGGGCATGCCAGGAGCAGCAGCAGGCATACCTAGAAATTAGGTGTAAGCTTGGCGAAGCTACAAAACAAGACTACTTGGATATCAAGCAGAGTGAGCACCAAGTAATAGTTAACCAGTCCACAACTAACCGATCAGATAAGACCATAAGGTGGAGCCCATTCAGCTGATTGAGTCTCCTGTGTCATTCGATGTGATCATGGCTGATCTGATAATCTTCAGCTCTACTTTTTTGATTTTTCCTCATCGCCCTTGATTCTCTTACTGACTCAAAATCTGTCTATCTCAGCCTTGAATATACTGAATGACCTGTTCTACAGCCCTCTGCAGTAAAGAATTCCACAAATTCACTATCCTCTGAAGGATGAAATTCTTATCTCTATGCTAATAGGGTGACCCCTTACTCTTTATATTATGATCTCTGGTCCTAGACTTACCCACAAGGGGGAATAATCTCTTCATACCTACCCTGTCAAGTCATTTAAGAATTTTGCATGTCACTTACTCTTCTAAACTCCAATGGGTTCAGGCCCAACCTACACAACTTGTCCTCATAAGTTCGTGCCTCCGTATCCGATATCAGCCTTGTGAACCTTATCTGGACTGCCTCCAATATCAATATAACTTTCCTTGGATAAGGGCCCAAAACTGTTCAAACTATTCCAGCTATGGTCTGACTAGTGCCTTGTATAATTTTAGCAAGGCTTCCTTATTTTGATATTCCATTCCCATTGAAATACAGGCCAACATTTGCTGAACTTGTATGCTGGATATTTGAGATTGCACAGTGTTCCATACCATCCATGACTGTTCAGATTCTGATATTAAAACACAACCATTTTGACTAATATTTGTCACAAAAGAAAAATATTGGAGGAAAAATGTTTATTGGAGATTGAATGCATTTCCTCCAATTTATTGAAGAAACATACATATTCTAAAGAATTAAACTGAACTGCCGACTTTCAGAATATTCATACTTTGAATTTTTGAGCAAAGAACCTTCCTCTCGTATTGTCAAGATTTTTAAAAAATCATTGATTTTAAGTAAAATTACAAGCTACGGTGTGTGTGTGGTGGGGGCATGGCTTCAACATAATTTGTCAAACTTTTGAGGTATTGCACATGAAGTGGAAACCTATTGTAATTTTAAAGTGAAGTAGATTTAGAAGTTAGGAGGTAACTGACTGGGATGTGTAAACATAGTTCAGTCTGCAAGTTAAAATCTGATATTACATTTCCCCCTTTTTATTGTATTTTCATTTAAATTTCTACATGCACATTTATAATGGAAGCTCCCTGTCTGAATTCGTGCTGTAGTGGCATCTTCATGCTATTGGTGGTGCTACAACATTTCCACTTGTCAAGTTTAAGACTTTCTAACAAGTGGAAATATTCAGCTTACATGTACCCTCCAAACCCTTCTTAATTTTCAAGGCCTCAGAAGTCACCTCACTTACTTTGATTTAAAAAGCCCCATCTATTCACTCTTTCTTGATGGCTATATCCTCTTAATTTTGGTGTCACCTTTTGTAAATTATTTTATCTGCTAAGCAGTGGAAACAACACAGGGAGAGATTATTCACAAGACAAGGTTGGCAAGGCTGATCCATGTACAATCCTGCCATTACAATGAATAGGCGTTGAGTAGACAGGAACTAATATTTCCGAGAGTTTTGAATTACAAGTGATCTATTGAGATATATAAAATTCTTAAAAGGATTTGACAGGGTGGACACCAATAGAATATTTCCTTTAGTTAAGGAGTTAAGTATTAGGTGTCACTGTTTCAGAATAAGCAAACAACTTTTTAAGAACTGAAATTAGGTGTAATTAGATTGCAGATTCTTTTTTGGAATTTTCTTCTCAAAGGGCTGTTGAATATATTCAGTGCAGAGATTAATAGATTTTTGACAACTAAGAATTAAGATGATAGCGCGGATTAGAGATCATCCATGATTTTACTGATGGTGGAGGGGCTCTAAGGTCAAACGGTGTTCTCCTGCTATTAAATCAAAGAAGAAATGTAGTTCATTTAGTGAAGTATTGCATTGTATGATGTGAGTATAAGTCATTGATGTTCTTTGAATCAGAACCTAATATTATAACAGAAAACTTACTCAGACTTTCTAACTTCATAAACTGTATTTCTCTAGGTTTTATACTCTATTGGTACTGTCTACTGCTCTGTTTGGAAAACCACCTTTCAGGAATGTAATAGTCAATGGTCTAGTACTGGCAAGGTATGCCCTTGTTTAACTTTCCCACATCAGTAAACATTAAAATTATATTTGATTTTTCAGTATTATCAAAAGTTATAATAGGGGTTAGCAGCATAATTATCTCTTATAATTGAAACATTGTTTTCTGTTAAGCATTCATGTTCTAGTTAATATTTTGGGTGTTGTAAACATTGATTACTCATCATTAAAAGATCAAACTGTTAGCATTAACTTTACTGTAACCAGTTTAAATTATAATTGATTTTCCTAAGCAGCTGTTGTAGTCTGGATGGAGTATTACAGTAGTTTTACCCATTTCTCTTCTTGGTCAGCTGACTTCACATTTGGGAGGTACCTGTAGGTTTGAAGTGGCAGCGGTGACTGGTGGAGGGTGATAATAGGTAAAAGGCTGAAAAAGCTTTGAGCTCATTCAGTTCCAAACGTTATCCTCGTATTAACTTATAAAATATTTGTGACAAGCTATGGGAAGCATTGGTCTCACACTGTGGCACGGTTAGAGACAGTTGAGATGAATGATAATATGAGAGGAGAATAGAATCTGTTCAGAGTTGTCAGAAATGATGCTCAAAATTTGTTTGGGTTTTTCTGCATTCTGCTGCATCTGGAACTCAAAAGCAATTGGCCTTAATCATGTCAAATTAATTTCATTTCCTGCAGTGGAATTAACTAGCTCATATTCTCAATGAATATTTTGTTTTCTGAGGAAATGGAGGAAATTGTAATACACTGAATGGAAGCCTTTCCACAAAGATTTTTAAATATGTAATGTTGGATGTGCCTATAGAGTGTTTGTTATTTTTTTGTGTGGAAGTAAGGGTAGATTTAAAGGAAATGAGAACTGGGCTTGAAGAGAAATCAACATAATATTTAGGTGCTAAGAGAAGAATTTTGCCAAAGAAGTTAATTAAACAATAAAGAAAATATGGTTGAATGTTTGATGCTAATAAATTAGAATACCTCTGAAGCTGACTTCACCATTGATATGATCTTGTCAGAATTGGAATTAGTAAGATATTGCTGCCTTGATAAAAACCAAACTTGAAATAAATTCTGTGTAAGTATAACATTTCTTTTATTTTCAATGCAGACATGCATGAAATTAATAAAATGTGATTAGTGAATCATGTTTCTGTTCTCCTATCTGTGTAGCGATGGTCAGAAAATGAGTAAACGTAAAAAGAACTATCCCGATCCGATGCATGTTGTCAACAGCTATGGCGCAGATGCACTGAGGTAAAATGTACATCATCTAATGACAGTGTACATGGTGTTTTAAGCCTTTTTCTGAACAATATTGACCTGTTAACTCAGCGTGAGAGATTCCCACTGGTCAACAACTCTACTGTATTGTATCTAGTGACTATGGGAACATTTTTTTTCTCATTCAGCAATTCAAATGATCTTGAGTACATGTATTCAAGTGATATGAGATGCCGAAGCTGATAAATTGGGTGTACAATTGAAGTACTAATGAGAACATCATTTACAGTAATTAAGAATAATGAGGGAGGTTCAGTCTATCAGTTTGTCTAGATAATCTGTCAATTTTATCACATTTATAGCATTCCTGTTTCTCCTCATCCATTAAAATACTTCAAATAGTGCTATTTTGAGTCAATTTCTTATACCCAAAAACCATAACTTAATTATGAACAAAAACAAAATTGCTGGAAAAGCTCAGCAGGTCTAACAGCATCTGTGAAGGAGAAAACAGAGTTAACGTTTCAGGTCCGGTGACCCTTCCTCGGAACTGGTGGTGGCTGGGAAAACATCAGTTTGTATGCAGAAAATAGGGAGGTGGGTGGGGTAGGGAGTAAACGATAGGACAGCGCCAAAAGAGAGAGAAAGACAGTTGGACAGACAAAGGAGTTGCTAACGATCAGGCTGGGAGGGTGAATAGTTGTTAATGGGGACTGTTAGTGATTAACAAAAGGGGGTGTGTAATGGCAGGCTATGTGGTAACAAGGTGTGGTGTGTGGGATAGGGTGCTGGGACATGGGAGAGTTCCAACTATTCCCCTTCCCAGCCTGATCGTTAGCAACTCCTTTGTCTGTCCAACGGTCTTTCTCTCTCTTCGGGCTTTATCCTATCGTTTACTGCCTACTCCACCCACCTCCCTATTTTCTGCATATAAAATGACGTTTTCCCAGCCACCACCAGTTCTGAGGAAGGGTCACCGGACCCGAAATGTTAATTCTGTTTTTTCCTTCACAGATGCTGCCAGACCTGCTGAACTTTTCCAGCAACTTTGTTTTTGTTCCTGATTTACAGCATCTGCAGTTCTTTTGGGTTTTACATAACTTAACTATGTCTCTGTTTTATACAGAATTTCCCTATCCCTTCTTGAAATTTCAAGTGTTTCCTACATTTATTTCCACGACAGTTCTACAGATCAATACCTATTCTACATTGTTCACTGTTTCTAGGCATAGCGACTAAGATATAATAGATAACTTGAGGCCATGACAATGGGCAGATACCAATCCTGCATTTTTTTTTTGTTTGCTTGTGGTTACTTAATGCACTTCTAGTTGCATCATGTTTCAAATTAACATCATTCACACTGCATGATGTGGACAGTTTACATTGAAACCAACTGCACAGTTTGTTCATAGAATCTCTACAATGTGGAAACAGGCCATTCGGCCCAACAAGTCCACACCGACCCTCCTAAGAGTGTCCCACCCAGACACACCTCCCTACCTCATCCCAGTAACCTTACATTTCCCATGGTGAAAGCACCTACCCTCCACATTCCTGAACACTACAGGTAATCTAGCATGGCCAATCCACCTGACCTGCACATCTTTGGACTGTGGGAGGAAACCGGAGCACTCAGTTAAAACCGATGCAGACATGGGGAGAACGTACAAACTCCGTATACACAGTCACCCAAGGATGGAATCGAACTTGGGTCCCTAGTGCTGTGAGGCAACAGTGCTAACCACTGAGCCACCGTGTCGCCTGTGCTTCTTTGTGCATTATGACTGAATCCTTTGGTTAAATAAATTCCCTTATTTAAATACTCCTAAAAATCTCCTAGTCGATTTGAAATATCACGTCATCATAGTAGGACCTAAAACATTCACAAATCTAAATTATGATTAACTTTGTGTATATGTCTAAGAAATGTTTTCCTTCTTTGTACTAGTTTAATACTTTTGACATGTGGTTATGAAAATAGATGATTGTAAAGATAATAGTTGTAGGAAACCAATTTCAGCAAATTTCCTATCAAAAACATTGGACTTTCAAATAAATACTGGTAAATTATAAGTAATGCATTTTACACGAATATAATCTGTCACATTATGTTAAAGTTTGAACCGAACCAGAAAGTGAAGTCTGTTAAACATCATTAAACTGCCAATTTATGATTAAATTCCTAATATAAAATGACGTTGTCTGCCTAGAAGTGAAATACGCTTCTTTGAGTATCTTTTGTAAATAGTGAATTCTGTCAAATAGGTGAGATATAATAACATTATTTAACTGAATTTGTTTATCTTAATTGTTTAGCAATTTATATTTAATCTATTTTAATGGTATGATAGGAAATATAATTATTACCAGACTATTTTGAAGAAAGGCACACCTTTGAAGATAAGTTAATTTTTCACAAGTTTCTCATTACTTTAATTTGTATATCATGCTTTTGCAGATTACTCATCAAAGTTACTTTTAAAGACAAGATATCCTGCAATAATAATTGCATTTACATTTGAAAACTTTTTACATTATTTTGCAGAAATTTTGTATAGACGTAATTTTAACTGTGTTTAACTATGTGTGCCATTTTTTTCATGAACTGTGTAAATGTTCTTTTGCAGGCTGTACCTCATTAATTCCCCAGTTGTGAGAGCAGAAAATTTACGCTTTAAAGAGGAAGGAGTGAGAGATATTCTGAAGGATGTTTTCTTGCCTTGGTACAATGCATACAGGTTCCTTGTTCAGAATGTTCAGAGACTGCACAAGGTACAGGAGAATATTTCCATGCAACTCCACATAGATATAACAATATGTACATTTGCAGGAATTTTTTAAGTACACTTCCACCCGAGTGTATAGAAATATGTAGATTGAAATATTAGCTTAATGTCATAATATATATCTTTAAATGTGAAAATGTTAAAGTGGACTGTGATATGTACTATGATGTGTACTGTAGAATGCTCAGTTATTTTTAAACTATTGTTAAATTTCTCATTCCAGGAAGAAGGTATCCAGTTCCTTTTCAATGAAAGTACCATTGAGGACAGTGATAACATTATGGATAAATGGATACTTTCATTCACGCAATCACTCATTCAGTTTTTCAAGGCAGAAATGGAAGGTAATCATGAAAATGGCGAAATGTTTAAAGAAAAAATATAATTACCGTAACTACCTTTTAGTTATCTTCAATATTCCTTTCCAGGGTATTTAGTGCAGGGTTAATAATTCACTTTATTTTTACAATATATGCTCGGTAATTTGAAGATCATAATGAAGGTGCAAAAAAAGCTCATTCAACTCTCACCATAGTCCAGGTCTATGTCTAATTTGAAAAAAAAAGAATAAATCCCCATGTAAATTCATAACTCTCTAAATTTTGCAAAATCTATTGCAATACTAAGGAAATGCCACATTTTTGGAGGTGCTATCTTTCAGATGAAACGATGAAACACTGAACCATGATCTTTTCTGTTCTCTCAAGTCAGGATCTCATGGCATTGTTTTGTAAAAGAGCAGGGGAATTCTTCCATGTCCTGACCATTATATATCCTGGAATCAATGTTATTAAAAAATGGATTATCTGGTCATTGTCACTTTGCTGTTTGTGGGACCTTGTTGTGAGGAAGATTGCTGCGTTGCCCACATTACAACAGTGACTGTAAAATATTTGTGCTGTCCTGAAGTCACGAAAGATGCTACACTGAAGGAAAGCTTGCAGTTATACAGTGTCATGAAGAATGGTATTGCTTTCCTGATGGCTGAATATTTGAATAATTTCATTGCTCCTTTTATGGAATTCTGTTTAAGTTGGCTGTGCCTATTCGGCTCCACCATTTAATTAAATTAAAGCAGACATTTGATCAATTTGTCTCTTTGAAGTGGTGCTTTAAATAGCCCCCGAATCCCCACCTACCCCCCAATCTGCCAGCTATCTTCTTTTTTTCATATTCAACCCAATGTTTTGTGCCCTTAGTTCTTTGACCTGAAAGGAACTTTGATCCTTCTGTGCAATCCACCAAGAAGACAATTTCCATCTCATAAATATTGCATGTCATCGTATCTACTTCATCTTCTGTGGTATTGGTACTGACATTGTGTTTTTGTTACCTCTGATTTGATTTGTTTAGGGCTCTTCTCATTGATCTCCTGAGCAATGGCATGGATAAACATGCCACCTAGAACTTATCTTCATTGCTTAAACATTATCCCACTTAGTCATTCCACTACTGTACACATCAAATTTAAGGTCATTTCTATTCCCTTCAGTTTCCTTTTTGGTTCCACCCCTCTGTAACACTAACCGGCCCAAAATCCATGAATGTTCTCTCACCTTTCTCTCAATTCTTCTAACTCTTCTGCATGGGATATTTGCTCTCTTTCTGTATCCATGCTGTACCGTCAATGACAGAGTTTTTCCAATCTTGCCCCATATCCTGAAATTTGCAATCTGAATCCCGACAATTTGCTGCAGTCTTGCCCAAATCCATAATCCTTTTTGGGGGCGGGGAGGGGGGGGGGGTGGGGGGGGGGGGGTGGGGGGTGTGGGGGGGTGGGGTGGTGTGGTGGGGTGGTGGGGTGGTGGGGGAAGAAAACACTTGGATATCCGAGACCATTTGTCTGAGACCTCCTTTTGTCACCTTGTCCAATCCTGAAACGTTAACTGCTTTGGGTATTATCCTTTGTTCATATTGATAAACTATAACTTCTCAGCTGGAAATTAACTTTATATTTAGAAAAAAAATGTTTAAAATGCATTTAATGCCTATTCATCATTTATATTTATAAATATATTGAGCTAATCACATTAAAATGTGAAAACTTCAGATTTGCATTCATATTTATCAATTAGTGTTCAAAAAATACCTTTTCATTACAGCATATAGACTTTACACTGTGGTGCCAAGACTAGTAAAATTTGTGGACTTATTGACAAATTGGTATGTGCGAATGAACCGCAAAAGATTAAAGGTAGGAAACTTTGAATTTCCTTGAATGGAGATCATCTTCATTAAGCCCTTCTATTTCCTTTCTTACAATTTAAATAAAAGATAAGTAGCTCCCCTTGATAACACAGTGTGGAGCTGGAGGAACACAGCAGGCCAGGCAGCGTCATAGGAGCAGGAAAGTTGACATTTCGGGTTGGGACCCAAATTCTGAAGAAGGGTCCCGACCGGAAATGTCAATTTTCCTGCTCCTGTGATGCTGTCTGGCCTGCTGTATTCCTACAGCTCCACACTCTGTTGTCTCTGACTCCAGCATCGGCAGTTCTTGCTATCTCTGAGTGAATTAGCTCACCTTGATTTGTGCTTAGTTCCTCTTCCATTGATGATTGAGACCTGCTCATGAATTACAGTTTCAGTATCAATGGCGTTATGTATGGATTAAATTTAGATTCTTGTTTGTGATGGTTATTAGTAATAGATAGGGCATGGAGCATCTTTCCATAAAAATACTGTTTAGATAACCCAACTTTAAAAGGTTACCAACGTTTAACAATCATTGCGTTTCAGAGAGGAGAATTTGTTGGTAATTCTGCTTACAATTTCTCTTTGATAGGGTGAAAGTGGCGTAGAAGATTGCCAAAGGGCTTTGGAGACCCTGTTCAGTGTTTTGTTCTCCATGTGTCGGCTGATGGTATGAAAACTTAACAATAATTTTACTTTTATGATGTTTGCATCTGAAATTTGTGCAGTTGTTGAAAAATTGTTCACTTTTGCCTGTTTTTCTTGCCTTCCCCTCGGACAAGGTGCTATTATAATTATTCAATGTCTCATTCTACATATAAATTACTTGTTACTTACATGCAACACAATGCATCAGTTCAACAATTGCCTTTTAAATCATGTCTTTCTGATTTAGTAACATAATAGTTACGTGGTTAAAATGCCACTGTTGTTGATCCTCTTCTATTTAATGTATTTTCTACTTGAGCTTCTGAGAGATCTTTCAGAAGAAGTGTTTTTGCTTGTTTTAAGATTGTTAGCTTTTTTGTGATTGAATTTATTTCAGCTAACTGCTAAGCATATACGTGATGACAAGGTTTTGTTAACTAAATAAGCATATCTAAGGTCTTAGAGTTACTTATAACCATGGATACCTAACAAAGGTTTAGATAATTTTTTTAGTGAGGTAGTAGAGGCTGTTGACCCAGGTAAACAACAAGCATGTCGTAACAGCTTCATTGTATATGGGAGTTCTCAAACATGATTTGAGGGAGTTTGGCTGCCAATAACTCAAATTTTTCATACATTGACTGCAAGTTATGCTTTTTACTTTGCTAATAAATAGTTTTTGTCCTTGGTCCACATATGGTATGAAGTAGTTGAACTGGCTTCTGTTATGCTTCATTTTAGTCCCAGTTTTTACAGGAAATGGATATAAAGGCAGAACCTATCCTCAAATTTCTTAAATCTTTGTGTGGTTGGGGCATTTGGGAGTGATTCTTATCGATTTTACACTGAAATAGTTAGGCAAAAACTGATCATTCATTACCATTCAAAGCTAATTTCAGTATTAGGTTCAACTAGCACAATTTTCTCACACATGCCTTTTCTCTGAATTTTTTTTGGTTGATCGAAGTTAGACCTGGCATTTTACCTTTAAAATTAAGCTCCATAGTTTTGTTCCCTGCTTTAGGTGATATCACTAAAATAATTATGTGCAAGAAATGCTTGAAGAACATAGGATAATTACTGGCTAAAAATCTTTATCAATTATACCTTTTCTGAACAAATTATTTTCTCATGTACTTTGCTGTATATGTAACGTTTTTGAAAATCAGCTCCATACTGAGTGTAATCATTGATTACTGTTGTAAGAGTTCAGTGTTGATATAGCATGCTCAAAAATGTGTCTTTTCAATTTGGCCATGTGATATAAATATATATTGAAGACTTTAAGAATAATGACTTGAATTTTGTATTAACTAATGTTGACTCACAGACAGCTACCCACAAAATCTTTGGAAGCATTTGAGCAACAACTTGCTCAAATCTGCTGTCTGATCCTGCACAGTGCCTACTTTGGACCATCAGTGGACAGGAAAAAAGCAGCAAGTCTCTTCAGACTATCAGCTTGAAAATTCATACTGAGGCATAAAATATCAAAATCAGAAAATAGAAGATAGGAAGTACGTTTAGACTCTAATCATGTCCCACAACCAAAATAGGATCAGAAAAGATCTTTGCCACACAATGACCAATAAGAGAGAATCTTATAACCATTCCAGAGGTTACTGTAGACTGGAAGGGCTTTTGATCGCTAAGGAGTTGTCAGTGGTTTATTTTTTCCTAATCTTTGACTTCCATTAACCTTTTCATACCCATAAGAGTTTAGAGTAATGGAATTTAAGTTAGTGGTAGAGTAGTACAGCCCTGGGATTTAGAGTAGTACCTAGACTGTTGTTTAGAGTAATGTAGTTGGCATTTTTTTTTAGTGAGAATCTAACACAAGGGACCATCTAATTAGCTGTAAATTAATTTAATAGAATTTTTAAAACTTAAGTAGTTGCTAGAAGGTGCAAAAGTGCAGTCAGCAGTGTAGTTTGCTTCTATGGAATTTGGGAAACGAGAGACAGTTTGAATGTCCCTGACAACCACATCTGCAGGAAGTGTGTCCAATTGCAGCTCCAGTCAAACTGCGTGGATCGGTTGGAGCAGCAGTTGGACACATTCAGGAGCATGCAGGAGGCAGTAAACATCATAGGAGTTTTAGGGATGTGGTCACATCCGAGGTCAGGCAGATTGATGGGTGACTGCTAGAAGGGGCAGGCAGACAGTGCAGGAGTCCCCTGTGACTCTTGAACAAGTATACTGTTTTGGATACTGTTGGAGGTAGGTGTTTGCCTATTGGGGAATGGTGACAGCAGCAGCCAGAATGATGGCACCACAGCTGATTCTGTTATACAGCAGGGAGGGTCAAAGTGCAGTAGACAAGAAGTAATTTTCTTTTAGAATTCCTACAGTGTGGAAACAGGTCTTTCGGCCCAACAAGTCCACAACGATCCTTGGAGCATTCCATTTAGACCCATCCCCCTATAACCCACCTAATCTCACATCCCTGAACACTACGGGCAATTTAGCATGACCAATCCACCTAGCCTACACATTTTTGACCTGTCGGAGGAAACTGGAGCAGCCGGAGGAAACCCACGCAGACACGGGGAGAATGTGCAAACTCCACACAGACAGTCGCCTGAGGGTGGAATTGAACCCGAGTCCCTGGTGCTGTGAGGCAGCAGTGCTAACCACTATGGAAATATGGAACTGTATAGACAGGGGCAAGGCATTTCTGTGGCTGCAAAAGAGACTCCAGAATGGTGTGTTGCCTCCTTGGTGCCAAGGTCACACATTCTTGAGTGGGCATGGGATATTCTCAGAAGGGAGGGTGAGCAATCAGAGGTTGTGGTATACATTGATCCTAATGACAGGAAGAGTGATGAGGTCCTGTACAGGCAGTTAGGTAGGGCATTGGAAAGCAGGACCTCTAGGTTTGTAATCTCAGGAATTACTCTCTGCCACATGCTAGTGAGGCTAGGAATAGGAAGATAATACAATTAAATATGTGACTAAAGAACTGGTGTAGGAGGGAGGGCTTCAGATATGTGGATCGTTGGGATGTCCTCCAGGGCAGATGGGACCTGTTCAAGGAGAACAGGTTGCACCTAAATTGGAGGGGCACTAATATGCTGGCAGGAACGTTTGCTAGCGTCACTCGGGAGGGTTTGACTAGAGATGAGGTTGAGGTTGGTAGGCTCGCTGAGCTGGTTTGTTGTTTTGCAGACATTTCGTTACCATGCTTGGTAACATCCTCAGTTTAACTAGTGTGGCAGGGGGTTTGGAAACAGAGTAGTAGCTCAGCAAATGAAATGATCAAGGAGAAGTTAGAGACTAAGGCCAGTCAAGCTAAAAGGAAGAACGGATGGAGAGATTGCTGAACACAGCAGTTTAAAGTGCATTTGTTTTAACGTGAGGTGTATGACAGGTAAGGCAGTTGAACTTAGAGCTCGGATTAATACGTGTAGCTACTGCAGAGACTTGGTTGAGAGAGGGACATGATGAACAGCTTACCATTTTGGGATTCAGATGTCTCAGGGAGATAAAAGAGCTGGAGGAGTTGCGTTACTGATTAGGGAGAATTGGGGGACACCTTAGAGGCTCATCCAGCATTGGCCATATGGGTAGAGCTCAATCATAGGAAGGGTGCAATCGCTTTGAAGTTGTATTACAGGCCTCCTAACAGTCAGTGGGAAATAGTGGAACAGATATGTGGACAGATTATGGTAAAGTGTAAAAACAAAAGGGTTGTTGTGATGGGTGATTTTAACTTCCACTGCATTGACTAGGACTTGCTTAGTGCCAGAGGCTTGGATCAGGGCAGTTTGTTAGGTGCATCCAGGAGACTTTTTTTGAAGCAATATGTAAGTAGTTCAACTATTTGGACTACTGGTAATGGGGAATGAGCCTGGCCAGGTGATCAAAGTTTCAGTGAGGAAGCATTTCAGGAATAGTGACCATTGTTCTGTAAATCTTAAGTTATTCATGGATAAGATTAGTGCTCAGTTGAAAGTATTAAATTGGCAGAAGGCCAACTTTGACAATATTAAGCAGGAATGGGGAAAATAAATTGGGGTCGCTATTTGAGGGTGAATCCATATCTGTATTTGGGAGTCTTTAAAGGCCAATTGATTAGAGTTCAGGATCAGCATGCTCCTGTGAAAATGAAGGATAAGGATGGCAAGACTCAGGAACATTGGATGACCAGAGAAATTGAGAGCTTAGTCAAAAAGGAACATGAGGCGTATGTAAGGTTTAGGAGACTAAAGACCGGCAAAGCTCTCAAAGAAATGTCCTTGGCAAACAGAATTAAGGAGAATCACAAGGTGTTTTATACATAGATAAGGAGCAAGAGGGTAGCTGGGGAAAAGGTAGGTCCACTTAAGTACAAGGAGGGAACTTGAGTGTGGAGCCAGAAGAAGTGGGTGAGGTCCTTGACGAATATTTTGTATCAGTATTCACAAAGGAGAAGGATGTGGTGGATGGTGAGTCTCAGGAGGGGCATGTTGATGTAAAATAGGTGTTGCGTGCTTTGAAAAGCATTAAGTTAGATAAATCCCCAGCACCTCATGGGATCTATCCAAGAATACTGGGGGAGGCAAGGAAGGAAATTGCAGAGGCCTTGTATGAAATCTTTGTGTCCTCTCTAGTCACAGGAGAGGTCCAAGAGGACTGGAGAATAGCCATTTTGTTCCTTTGATTAAGAAGGGTAACAGATTATCCAGGAAATTACAGACCGATGACCCTCACATCAGTGGTAGGGAAATTATTGCAGAAGACTCTTAGGGACAGGATTTACTCATATTTGGTAAAGTATAGGCTTATTACTGATAGACAGTATGGCTTTATGTGAGGGAGGTTGTGTCTCACAAACTTAATTGAGTTTTTGAGGAAGTGATGATGATGATTGAGGGCAGGGTGGTGGATCTTGTCTCCCTGAACTCTGGCAAGGTCTTTGACAAGGTCCCTCATGGCAGGCTGATACAAAAAGTGAAGCCAGTGGGATCTATGGGAAGCTGCTGAAATGGATACAGAACTGGCTTGGTCATAGACTGTTACATAGTAACAGTGGAAGGGTGTTTTTCTGACTGGAGATCTGTGACCGCTGGTGTTCTGCAGGGATCATTGGTGGGACCCCAGTTGTTTGTAATATATATAAGTTATTTGGAGGAAAATGTAGGTGGCCGGACTTGTAAGTTTGCAAATGACATAAAGATGGGGGAGCTGCAGATAGTGAGAAGAATTGCCAAAGAAACAACAGGATATCGATAGGCCCAGAGTGGAGCTGGAGGAACACAGCAGGTCAGGCAGCATCAGAGGAGCAGGAAAGCCGATGTTTCAGGTCAGACCCTTCATCGACTTTCCTGCTTCTCTGCAGCTGCCTGACCTGCTGTGTTCTTCCAGCTCCACACTGTATCAATTCTGACTTCCAGCATCTGCAGTTCTTGCTATCTCTACTGCTCCTGAATGCCCCAGTCCTAATCTCTTCTCGTGTCATTAGTCGGTAATTGGGAAAATACCATGATTTGATGATACCACAGTTAATTTTAGTCTGATTCTGTAAATGAGGCTCTGGCAGATCACAGCTTGTGCAGGTTATATCTAACAGAAATTTCTGAATTACCACCTTTTGTGCATGGTCAGACCCTGGAAGTTGTTATCCAATTATCCAATTTTGCTTAGTCAAAACAATACTCACTGCTAATGTTAGGATCCCGGGGGATCTGTAAGCCAGAAAAACAAATTAACTAAATTACCCAGCATGAAGTTATCAGATGAGATTTCACCTTTTGTATCTTTTTAACATGAAATATCATAGGTGCAAATTAACATGAATTGACAATAAAGCACATCAGTAACAGCAAAAGATTACACATGAAATAGCAGGTGCAACAAAGAGTGTCTCTCATTGAGATAGTAGCAGTCTGTTCCACCTGTATGGTCCCAGTTTCAGTCTCTTTGTTCTTTCAAGCAGAATACCAGACCCTATCCATCAACGATTTTGCTAGTTTTCTATGGGCAGCATCCAACCACAGAAACCGTATTCTGCCTGTACAGATTTTCATACAATGCCTTGTTTCTTTTTGGAACCTTCTTAACTGCTCTCTCCTCTTGATCTTTATTCTTCAGTGTGCTGCACAGCCTTCATATTTGTTGGTCCTAGTTGGTACTGCTTCTAGGCCCAGTGTCAATAAGCCACGTGTATTTGGACTTAATCAAAATCGATCCCTTTACGATGTATGAAAACTCTTTGTACTTTCTTTTAGCATTATTAAAACAACAAAAGATTCCCAAACATATTACTTACAAAATGACCATATTATGACTGCTTCTAAGTCATAATACGTTACTGCTAAGTTTAGCATTATTATCGATGTAGACCTTGGCCCAATGCTGGTAATCATCCTTTGTCAGTTTTTCTTGATGTTACGACATTCTCTTGAATTAATATTGCACAATGACAGCTACATTTCATTGAGGTCATGTGTACAAATAATAAAACAATTCCCAGTTGTGCTTTAATAAATTGGAGGCAAACCTGGTAGGAATGATTATTCCAATTAATGCTTTGATTGTCTTTGTGGTAACTTATAAATATTAACATTATGGTCTTACAGGCACCCTTCACACCCTTCATCACTGAACTGATGTACCAGAATTTAAGGCACTTAATAGACTTATCCTCAGTTCCAGACAAAGATACACATAGTATTCACTATCTTATGCTGCCACAAGTGAGGTATGATATTTTCTTATTGTATAATGTATTGATATTATATAAAATGACATTTTTGTTTTGTTGAAATTTTGTTAAATTGCACAAAGATTCTCCAACTTAATTGCTATCAGACCCAGATTGACAGAATGCATGGATCAGATTTCTGTACTTAACTAAAATTACTATTTATTACAAGTAATTAGACTCTAGCTTGAAAAAAGATGCAACATAATGGAGTATGAAACTGAATTTGTTCATTTATTCTTGTAGTTTTGCTGAATAAATGATAAAATTGATTGTAATTTACATTGTTGTTAAACAATAATTTTGAGAAATTACCTTGATAAGTCATTGTTTGACAACATGCAAATATCAACTCCCCAAAACGTTTTAATGTTCTGGTTTATGTCATTTTAATTTCTAATTTTAATCTGGTATCTCAAAGCAAAATGTAGTTTTAAAAACAATAGTTTCAATATCACAATATAAAAGAAAGAATAAACGTTATGACTTTGAACCCGAAGTGAATATTATTAGCAATTATATTGACTGACTAGCTGCGTTAAAAAATTACTCTTTAAAACTCTTGAGACTACTTCTCCAAGAATGTTTTGTGAATTTTCAACTTCCATGCTATTGCTTAAACAGCAATACTAGTGAAATATAATTATTTAAATATTAGTGGTTTCATTATTGTGAAAGCACAAAAAAAATCCTTTTGTATCTTGTCACAGGTTACTCTTTTGTCACTTTTATCTTTATATATTTTCCATTTCTATTTGTCTTGTTGATATTGAAATTTCATTTTACCTTCTTATTCCAATGTCTTTTATATATTTTACACAAATATTTAAGAAGTTTAACTGCCTCTGACGTGAAAATTCTACCATCTGAAAAATGTCTCACCTCACTTGGGTAGTGCACTGGAAATCAAGCCTTATTATTCCTGAAGTCTTCACAAAAGTTAAAAACTTGAAAAATTAAATTGCACAAAGATTCTCCAACTTAATTACTTTCAGACCCAGATTGACAGAATGCATGGATCAGATTTCTGTACTTAACTAAAATTACTATTTATTACAAGTAATTAGACTCTAGCTGCAGGGACAAGGGGAATTCTGTCTTTGTTGTTATTGCGGGGAGGGAGTGAGAGGGCTGAGGTGCGGGAAGGGCATTTTCGACCACTGTGGAGGGGAAATTGCGTTTCTCGCACCTCAGCCCTCATATCCCCTCCCCACAATAACAACAAAGACGGAATTCCCCTTGTCCTCACGTATCACCCCATCAACCTCCGGATTCAACGCATCATTCTCTGCCACTTCCGCCACCTGTAATCTGACCCCACTACCAAGGATATATTTCCGTCCCCACCCTTATCTGCCGTCCGGAGAGACCGCTCTCTCTGCAACTCCCTCGTCAGCTCCACACTCCCTACTAGCCCCACCACCCCTGGCACTTTTCCCTGCAACTGCAGGAGGTGCTACACCTGCCCCTACACCTCTCCCCTCACCTCCATCCCAGGCCCCAAGATGTTCACCAGCACATCCGCTAATGTGGCATATATTGTATCCGCTGTTCCCGATGTGGCCTCCTCTACATCAGGGAAACCAAGCAGAGGCTTGGAGACCACTTTGTTAGGCACCTACGCTCGGTTTGTGACAAACGACAACATCTCCTAGTCGCGAACCACTTCAACTCCCCCTCCCACTCCTTGGATGACATGTCCACCCTGGGCCTCCTCCAGTGCCACAACGATGCCACCTGAAGGCTGGAGGAACAGCACCTCATATTCTGCCTGGGAACCCTGCAGCCCAATGGTCTCAATGTGGACTTCACAAGCTTCAAAATCTCCCCATCCCCGACCTCATCCCAAGACCAGCCCCTCTCGTCCCCGCCTCCTTGACCTGTCCGTCTTTTCTCCCACCTATCCGCTCCTCCCACCTCACTGACCAACCCCCACCCCCACTTCCCACCTACTAGCCTCATCCTCACCTCCTTGACCTGTCCGTCTTCCCTCCCATCTACCCACCCCTCCCTCCTCACTGACCAACCCCCATCCCAACTCCCTACCTACACTCACCTGTACTGGCTTCAACCCCGCCTCCTTGACCTGTCCGTCTTCGCTCCTCTATCCACCTTCTATCATCGCCTCCCCCTCTCTCTATTTATTTCAGAGCCCCCTTGCCTTCCCCTATTTCTGAAGAAGGGTCCAGACCCGAAACGTCAGCTTTCCTGCTCCTCTGATATTGCTTCTTCGTCATCCTTTTCCAGATGCTACAATTGGTTTGCAAGAAATTCAGGGTGGCTGGTTCACTTATGTAAGGTCTCTGCCTTATTAATTAAAAGTCACAACTTAGAACAACTGTTGAAAGAAAGATAAACTGGTTATCTTCTTGCTTAAAGTAGCTTTTACTGTAGATAATAATTTTCTTGGCATTCCGATGGAGTTCTTTCTCTCTGTATTGTGTTCACTGCCCCAAGCTGTTCGCTTAGCTGAGAACCTGTCACGTAGTTGTTGACAAGCAGAAGGCCTTTGCCATCAATAACTGGTTACTAGTCCACTGACCAATCAGCGACTTGTACCAAACAAAGTTCCATTTCTACACACCCACTCGGCTCCAGTTTGTCTGAAAACACACTTAACCACTGCTTGAACTTTCAACTGTTTTAATGATGCTTGCAATAAGTGCCAGGTTACCTGCTTTCAAAATGTGCAGCAATTGTCCAGCCACCCTTGCTTTTTAAAACAGTTATTTTCTCATTTAGAGTCATAGTGTCATAGAGCTGAATGGCATGGAAACAGATTCTTTGGTCCGACTCGTCCGTGCTGACCAGATATCTTAAATAAATCTAGTCCCATTTGCCAGCATTTGGCCCATATCCCTCTAAACCCTTCCTATTCATATACCCATCCAGATGCCTTTTGTACCAGCCTCCACGACCACCTCTGGCAGCTTGTTCCATGCACGCACAATCCTCTGTGTGAAAACGTTATCCCTTCGGTCTCTTTTTAATCTTCCCCTCCCATCTTAAACTTATGCCCTCTAGGTTTGTACTCGCCCACCTCGGGGAAAAGACCTTGCCTATTTACCTTATCCATGTCCCTCTATAAGGTGACTCCTCAGCCTCTGACACTCTGGGGGAAATAGCCCCAGCCTATTCAGCCTCTCCCTATAGCTCAAACCCTCCAACCTGGGCAACATCCTTGTAAATCTTTTCTGAACCCTTTCAAGTTTCACAACATCCGTCCTATCAGCAGGGAGACCAGAATTGCACACGATACTCAAAGTGGCCAAACCAATGTCCTGTACAGCCGCAACATGACCTTCCAACTCCTATATTCCATGCACTGACCAATAAAGGCAAGCATACCAAACACCGCCTTCACTATCCTATCTACCTGCGACTCCACTCCCAAGGAACTACGAACCTGCACTCCAAGGTCTCTTTGTTCAGCGACACTCCCCAGGACTTTACCATGAAGTGTATAAGTCCTGTTCTGATTTGTCTGTCGAAAATGCAGCACCTCACATTTATCTAAATTAAACTCCATCTGCCACTCCTCAGCCCAATGGCCCATCTGATCAAGATCCCATTGTATTCCTGAGGTAATCTTCTTCACTGTCCACTACACCTCCGATTTTGGTGTCATCTGCAAACCTACTAACGATACCTCCAATGTTCACATCCAAATCATTTTTATAAATGATGAAAAGCGGTCGTTCACAATGCAGGAAAAATAAAAAGACAGATCTTTACACATAACTGATTTGTAATTCTAAACTTATTAACAGATGTGAAATCAACATAAAGAGAATCAGAGGAACTTGTAGAAAAACATATTGATGAGCTCACCATACTTTCTGGGCAATGGTTAGATGTGCAATGGGGTAGCACTTACACATGTTCTCCTGGATTAAATTAAGACAGGATATGTTTGTCAGCATGATTTCTACTTCTCTTTATGAATAATAAAAAAGCGGGTTGATAACTTAAAGCCTAATTGAAATACCTTTCATATAATAAACAGTAACTAGCATTTGCCTTAAAAATGGGCTTTAATAATTTTATTTTTAATTTATTGAATCACTCTAGCATTTAGAGTTCATTCCTCAAATTGCACTGAATGTGGCAGTGATTCAAAATAACAATTATGCTAGAGTATTTCAGTTATATTAAGCTTAAGTGTTATTGGTTGCAAGCAGTTGACATCTTTCTTTGCGATTGGTTGTTCATTTCTATTTGTGTGTAAACCACTTTGCAGTTTCTCATTCTCATTGGCAAATACAAATCTCAATGAGGTAGAGGAGAAAATGGATCGAAAGGTACAGTTGCACAAATCACATGAAGTAGCAATGCAGGTTAATAAAGGCCATGGTTCTTTCGGTTTTCAACATCATCGGTGACCACCTTGGCCCCTCTGAAGACAAACTTGTACTGTAGGACCCAGTGGCATAGATAAAGCAGTCTCTTGAGGTGTCTGTATGATGATAATGCCCACCTGAATCATATGCTTAGATAAGTGTGCAGAGTGCCTCCACCTCATCTCATGCCAGGTAGAAATGACTGAGAACAGAGGTCACTGCATTGGGCAGAGCATTATCAGAGTGCTTTCCACATGTGTAGACCTAAAGGCTTCCTTCTGCACCACATTCATTCCGTGAATTGAGAATATGACTATGCACCTTTTAAGCTTATGAAGCCAACTATTTAGGCCTCCTTTTATTAATGGCAGTACAGGAAAAGGAAGGCAATATGTCAGAGGTGATCAAGGGCCCATAAACGATGTCAGTGAAACCTCTGAGTGGATGAGCGTCGTTTGTTGGCAGTCAGAGGTGAGGTGATTCACATTACATCATCAGCGTTTTCACAGACACCTCCTAAGTTAGAGGAGTTCACCTGAAATGTGGCAGAATCAGACAATCCTGAATGTTGCCATCATGGCGAGATCCTTGAGATCCTTCCAGGTTTCACAGTGTCTGTGCATTGAAGGTGCCTGTAAGGTCTGCATCTTCCTTCTCATCTTGCTCCTGTTCTTCCTTCAGCAAGGAAGGGAAGCAATCTGATGGGAGGCAACGTGTAAACTGATTTAACAACTAATTTGTGTTTTGGAGATGTCACAATTCATACAAAAATTATGATTTAAATTTTATGTAGATTGTCTGGTTGCCTGTGTCCATTCTTCCACCATAATGTTGATCAGTGCCTCCCAGAACTTTTCCGTGTCTTTGACTACATTTGGGATGAATACTATATAACTCTAATTTGTTTTATGCCTGTCCATGACTTGCATCCTTCTCTAACAATGTTCTGAGATTTGCTTTGTGTGTTTTAAGTGGGGGGAAGGTTTGTTTCTCATTCCTCCCTTTCTGAATGTTTTTTTGATTTATTTCCTCTAGGGAGTCTGTCATTGACCAACGTATTGAAGGTGCAGTTGCTCAAATGCAGTCAGTCATTGAGCTTGGAAGAGTGATCCGAGACAGGAAGACACTCCCAGTTAAGGTTTGTACGCACCATCTGCAATTTACAGTAATGCTGCAGCTCTGTTTTTGATTCTAGGTCTTTATAAAGACTAATCTCTGCCTCTCTGTGCTCAAAGTACTCTACTGAAACAGGATAATGACAATGGAGTGATGTATTGTCATTTAATGTCTTTCATTTCTTCATATCAATTACTTAGAATTTCTACAAAAGGAAGCTATTTTTTTTGTAAAGTTATTAAATACCATGTCGCCCTGGCAAAGTTGGCTGAGAAGTTAGCACTGTGGCCTCTCAGCACCAGGGACCCAGGTTCAGTTCCAGTCTCAGGCAACTCCAGTCTGTGTGGAGTTTGCACATTCTCCCTGTGGCTGCATGGGTTTCCTCCAAGTGCAGCATTTTACTCCCACAGTCCAAAGATGTGCAGGTTAGGTGGATTAGCCATGCTAAATTACCCATAGTGTTCAGGGATGTGCAAGCCAGGTGGATTAGCCATGGGAAATGCATGGTTACAGGAATAGGGTATGGGGTGGGTCTGGGTGGGATGCTCTTCGGAGGATCAGTGTGGACTTGATGGGCTGCATGGTAGCTTCCACACTAGGGATTCTATGATAAATTTAGTTCTGGAGCATTTATAAGAAGAAATATTTCAAGTCTTACTACTAGAGAGAATTTATTTTCTATCCATACAGATCAAGTACTTGCAATTAAGACTTTCAGTCAATTTAGGTTCACATGAAATGATTTTGCTCATTCTTCATTTGTCAATTTGCTGTTCAACAGCAGCAAAATAAACATATAACATTAATCATGTTCGTACAGCTTCCATAACTATTGAAGGGTTCTTGATGCTCTTTCATGATATGTGCATTATTATTGTTATCCTAGTGTGCTAATAAAGAGTATGCTGTATTAATCATCCTGAAGCTTTGCAAGTTTTTAATCCTTTGATAATTTTCCATGCTCTGTTTCTAGCTCAAAGTCCTGGCTTCATGGTCTGTTTCAAATTTTGTCTCTTTTCCTTTATTGTTTTCTTTTACTGGCTATATGTTTTAGCATATAAGTGGAACCTTACAAACAACACTCAAAGGTTTGTTCAAATTTTTTTTTCAGTATCCTTTAAAAGAGGTTGTGGTCATTCACCAGGATTCAGAAGCACTTAAAGATATTGGAGCCTTAGAGAACTATATTCTGGAAGTAAGTTAATTTGTATTTGTCTTATCAATGCAAGTATTAATTTTTAAGTTTAGCCTCTGTACATAATTCTGTTAAATGGCTTGTAATGTCACGTAAATTATTGTTAACAAAACTGAAAAAATGATACTTTTACGTGCAGTGCTGTTTGCCAGTTTTTAACATTTAAAATGTTTATTAGTGCTTTCCTTAAGATTCATCTTCCCATCACATCCGATGTTACTTCATTGTTAGTAAAATAATATAGTCGGTTAGCAATTGCTGTTTGCATCAAGTTATCAAAGTGTAAGTTGGCCTACAATGTTTTGTGAGCAAAAGATACCCTGATCTGCAAATTGTCATAAATTGTGATTTGCACCACTCCCTTACTGGCTCCCTGGAAATGGCACTTCATCTTTAACACCCCTGTAAGTTTTGTGAACTTGTTGCAATAGCCATTAAATTCAAAAGAAAATGTTAGATATAGTTAATATACTGCATTGAAGCTCTGATCCCCTTTTGTGCTTACTGAAATGTTTTCAGAAGAAATATATTTTTCCAAAGGTGAAAGACTGAAAATTATTTTGGCGAAAGGTTTTGGAATCCAATTTTTTTTTTTGGCAAAGTTAAAATACTTCAAGGTTATCAATAGCAATCTATCATTTAATATAGAAGTTAGGATGCCCAATCTGACTATTCTGTGTATTGTACTGTTTTAAATTTGTTCAACTAATTTTAACAATCATTGGTTGGAATTCTCATCTGACTGAATTCATGTGGGCTTGTTTCAGCAAACTTTCTGCAGTGGTATATTTTTTACTCTGGTTTTCTTTGCCAGTTTATGGCTTTTTACTCTAGTAAGGAGACACTGTGAATAATGAGACACCATATAAAAATGTAATCTTTGTGCTGCTTTCCCTCATTTTTTACTTTTGACCAAACACCTAGATCAATTAGTTACACTTTGAAGATTAACAATAGTTTAAAAGCAAATGGTTTCAAGCAGAATGCCACCAGCAAGCCTCATTAGTTTCTTGAAAAGATCAAAGCAATGCAGAAAATCTCTTCGAACGCTAAACCCTGGGATTTTGTTCTGACCAAATTTGCTAGATAGTCTCCTAAGACATCATAAATTACATTGGTGAATTCTTATGCACAGATGGGAGCATTGCAAGGGAATTTCCAGGACAAAACTACAATTAAATTGACATGACCATACTCAATTGATCGTGTACACTCAGCAAAGTCTGCAACTAAATCTCATGGTGTTGCAGTAACTTTACAAAAAATGACTCTGTTACTGTTAATCTGGCCCCTTTGATAGGAAATAATTTAAAGTTATTAAATTCACACCAGATTATATTCCACATTTTTGAGCTGTAAAACCTTAAATGCACTTGACTTTATTTATTTGTGAGATATTGTGGTCTTGGGCATTGCATTTATGCACTAAATGTTTACAGTGCATTTCACCACTTTGGAAAAATTTAAGCTTTGTCTTTTCTTATGTTAAAACAAATTCAATCTATTTGTTGATCTGGCCTTGAGAGAAAACAGATCTTTTCATTAAATATGCCCAAGAAAATAATTTTGGTAGTTTATTCACTGAGGTAACATGGCAAAGTTCTGGAACTACTGGTTGATTATTTTGGATAAAGTATTTTATTGAAAACCATGTGTTTCAGCTATGTAGTTACACTATTTTCTTTTGAAATTCACAACACTGTGGAATTGTCTGTACAAGGCTCCAACCATAAGACTAGTTCAGTGATTCGCATGTAAACGTTATCATGTAAACTTGACGTGCTACAAATGTCTTCAAAAGGAATCTTTATCACTTGTATTACTAGATGCTTTGCCAGATAATGACAAATAAAATGACAGTATTTCATTTTCACCTTGGCTTCTTGGAAATATAGTGGCCAAGTATTACATTATTTTAAGTGGCTCTGACATCTGCAGAATATAAAATGTCAAAAGCTGGGTGAAATATTACAAAGCGGCTGAATTACATCTGGACTTTTTTAAACATACATTTCACGGGTTTTCAGTTCTGCAGAGATGGACAAAAAAGAGTACAATTTTCTCATTGCTAAATGGAATACAGTTTAATGCACTCTGCTTTCGGATGTGCTTGTATGCATTTGCGTGAAACAGTTGACTTTACAAATAGATTTTATCAACGTTTTCTTCTGGCAGTACAGGTGTAGAAATGAGGAAATATTGCATGTACCTCTACTTGGGTTTAATTTGGAATATGAAGTGGATTTAATTTTATGGCCTTTAAAATTCAACCTTTTACACTCCTCCTCAGTAGCACTGAAGGTGAGGCAAATGCATCATTAATTTGGAACTTGAGATTGTTAATTCTAACGGGATTTTGGGCCAAAATACTAAACACTGTGTCACGAGAACTTAAGATAATTTTGCTGTGTTGTTTCACTTGTCAAAAGACTGTTTACAAATAAAATACTCTGTACAATTATTTCACTGTTTGGGTAGCTAACCTTTGAAAATTAGGTTAGGGACTCTCGGTATGTATTTACAGGAATCTCCTACTTAAGTTTTAGGAGGAGATTTAGTCCATTTCTTAACGTTTTGAAACTGTCATAAGATTTGATGGATCAGTTTCAGTTCGTGTAAGCTACAGTTACTAAGATATTTTAACAATGAAAATTGAGAAATTCCTGTTAAATTCTCCTGATAAAAATGATGCAACTGCGGCAAGATATTGACTACCTCGCAAGTTGAGATTCCTGATTTAGATCCTTTGCTAACAAATGGTGCCTCTAACAGACATTAACCTGACAGCCTAACTATCCTTTTGGATGAAGGTAATTGATCCCATGGCACTATTATTTCACTAATGTGAAATTATTATCTGGTCATCCACATCATTGCAGTTTATGGGACCTTGCTCCATGCAAGTCCACTATTGTACCAACACTTCAAAACAACTTATCTGGCTCTAAAGTACATTTGAGGTATCCTGAGCTATGAAAGAAGCTCCATGAATAGAAATTGGATCTTTTTTGCCTATCATATTTTGTTTCACTTGTATTTTCCAGGTTCCTCCACCTGATTAATTCACACTTTTTCTCAGCTTTTTCTATCTATCATTAAAGTTTCTGCTACATCTGCTCTTTTTGATTTTATACTGGCCCAGTTTTGTTTGCTATATCATCATAGATTATTCCGTTTCACTGTTGAAGCACAGATCAGGACAGCAACACCCCAGTCTGTAGTACATCACCTAACATCAGCCAAACCATCCTTGAGCATCTGACTCATTAGTGGATGTACCTCTCCACTGCAGACGATTGTTTCATGTTATTTGACGTTGACTGACGTTTGAGGGCAATTGGGGTTGAAAATACTGGTGTAAAGTATTTTCAAGGGCAAGTTTTTGTTCTGACTATCTGACTGAATTTTGTTACTGAAAAAATGATTTGTTCATTCAGTGCTGCCTGAATTTAGCTTTTCAGGTCAATTTACATCAGCTTGGCTTGATGAGGCTCAGGTGCTAGACTCTCAGTAGGAATAGCTACAGCAGGGTTTTGGAATCAATGATTGAATCAATCAACCGTTTTCCCCATCTAATTTTCTCTCCTGTGGAGGTTGGCTCATGCTGCCGTACAGATTCCGCAGTGCATCAGCACTGATTCTAAAGCGCTGCAGTTCTGCAACTGAATAATTATTTTGTTGATCAAATTTCATTGGCAACAATCTCCACTTTGGGTAAACAGGCAGAGTGAGGATATTTGTAATTGATCTGTTTAGAAGTGCTATGGCACACCTCTGGAGCAGGTAGGCCTTGAATGCATGCCTCCTGGTTCAGAGGTAGGGACTGCTGCTGTGACACAAGAGCCCCATTGGCAGAATAGAGATATTTTCTAATCAAGCTGTTCGGAGATGTTATTACATATCTCTGGAGTAGGTGAGACTCGAAACCAGGTCTCCTGATTCAGAGATAGGGACAGTACAGCTGCAACACAAATTCTGAAACTAACGTAAAGTGTCAGAGGAATCACAGAAGTTCATACTCTGCCAACCCTGTAAAGCTCGTTTCTACCTTCATCCCAAAATCCACAAACAGAACTGCCTGGCTAGACCCATTGTTTTTACCAGCTCCTGCCCCGCAGAACTCATCTCTTCCTACCTCAACTTGGTTGTTTCTTCCCTTGTCTAAGCCCTTCCCACTTACATCCGCAATTCCTCTGACACTTTACATCAGTTTCAGAATTCCCAGTTTGTGATCTCCAGCTGCCTCCTATTTACCATGGAAATGCAATCGCTTTACATGTCCATCCCCTGTCAGGATGCTCTCGGGCTCTCTACTTCTTTGTGGAGAAAAGGCCTGAACCGCCCCCATCCACCGCAACCCTTCTCCACCTGGCTGAGCTTCTCCTCACTCTGAACAACTTCTCTTTTAACTCCTCTCATTCCCTTCAGGTTGAAAGGGTGGCCATGGGTACCCACAAGGCCACCAGTTAAGCCTGTCAGTTTATGGGATACATGGAATATTGCTTGTTCCAATCCTATTGCAGCCCCCACCCACAACTCTTTCTCTGGTATATTGATGATACCATCATGCTGCTTTCCTCTCTTGTCCAGAAATGGAAAAGTTTATCAATTTTGCTTTCAATTTCCACCCCACTCTCATTTTCACCTGGTCCATCTCTGACTTCTGTCTTCCCCAGCATTTCTTTTTCGCATTTCTTTTTCCATATTTGGGGATACAATGGCCACTAATATCCACAATAATCCCACAGTTACCTTGACTGTACATTGTCATACCCTGCTTAGTGCAAAGACACTATTCCATTCTCTCAGTTCCTCCATCTCAGTCACATCTGTTCTGATGATGCCAACTTCGTCAAGGGGGTCTCAAAAATGTCTACTTGATTTCTCAACCGAGGATTTCCTAGCATTGTAGTTGACAGGGCCCTCAACTGGATCCGACCCATCTCCTGCACTTCAGTCCTCACCCTTCTCTTCCCTGCCACAACAGCGATAGGGTCCCC